TCTTGCAATAGTTTACCATATTTTTCTAAGTAGAAGACGCACCGGAGTAGAAGATGCACCAAGATTTTGAAGAGGCAAATTAAAAAAAAGGTTTTTGCACTCTGCAGACCTCCCCAAAAAGGGCACGAATGGCCCTTTGGGGGGTTTTGGGGTGCCCCCGGGGGGGGGGGGGGAAACAAGCAAAATATGGCCTGCTTTTTGTAAAAAAAAAAGGGCATGCATAGCCTTTAGGAGTGCTCCTGGGGGGTGGGGGTGGGGCAAAATTGAGCAAAAAATGGCCCCTTTCTTGCTCATTTTTGCCCTCCCCAGCCCCCAGGAGCACTCTGGAAGCCTCCAAAATTCAATGTACGGTCATTTTGGTGAAGAGGGCGGGGTTTTGGGAGGCCAAAAATGCTGTATTCAGTGTATAAGACACACCCAGATTTTCAGCCTCTTTTTTGAGGGAAAAAGGTGCACCTTATACTCCAAAAAATACGGTAAGTCGACAAAATTCCCACTTAGAAGGCTACAGTAGGATATGGGACATATTCCTCAAATAAAGTAAAATTCCCTAAAACAAGGACCTCGGGGAGAGGATGGTGATCAAGATTTCATCCAGAGACACATGGTTTCAGCACACAAGTCATTTTTTGTGGTTGTGTCATTTTCTTTTTGTTTGTGGAGATCCTCAGTCATCGAGTCCATGGTTGTCCCAAAGGTACTTTTTCAAAAGGCAACTGGACAGTCTTGGTTTTTCCTTGAAGAAAAACTGAACCGAAGAAACTTCTTGGATGAGAAGCAAAGTGTCTTCAGGGAAAAACAAAGGAAGTCCAGTTGCCTTTTGAAAAAGCACCCTTGGCTCATTTTCTTTTCTTTTATAATTTGAGAAAAAAACACTTTTATTGACATATGTTGGCCATCTGATTTTTCATGGAATTATCTAGTTTTTGTAGCTTCCACCAGCGTGGCAACCTCAAGCGCGTACAAATTTGCACCCCTTGGATCAGGCATGTGGGTTAGTGTGGCTGTTTGGGGTGCCAGGAGCCTTGCCAAAATGCCAATAGATTTGGTGGGCCTTCCTGGGCCGAGAAAGCAAAACAGGCTCTGGCTTTTAGGGGTAGCCTTGGCTAACTGGTCAGAAGTCGTGGCCAGCTTTCAGAATGAATCGACAGGCGCTTTTCCTTGTCCCCCTCACCGCACGTAGGATGCAAATAGTTGGAAATACTTGCCCTCTGGCTACGTCCCTGGGCCATTGAGGAGAACCCATCTCTGTTGCAGGCAAAAGCGGAACTGAAGCTCTGCTTAGAGGCAGCTTGGGCTGGTTTGGGTTAGCAGCTGCTGCAGCTGTGAGTCCTTCACTGGAGAGAATCAATGATTGTTTTGTCAAATAAATTAATTATAACTGCTCCTGGTGACACGTTTTGTATTTTTTGACCCCCAGCATCCCACATCCTGGGCTTTTTTTTTCTTTTTGGAAAGGTGTGTAGTGTATATTGATTTGTAACCGAAGAATGTGTGTTTGTCTGCCTCCTGCTAAAACCCTGTGCTGAGTCGTATCCATTATGGCAATGAAATATTACCCGCGTTCAACCAACAAGGAGGCAGTCTCAGGTCGCTGAGCAGAAACATTTAGTTTCTGTTTCCAGGTGAACTAACTATTATTGAAATAGTTTATGGAGATTGAGATATTGATCACTTTCCTGCTAACCGTAGCTTAAGGGAAGAGCAGCGAGTGTGGGGAGGGGGATGGGATCTTCGGAGGGCACCCTATCACGCAGCTCTAGCTATCGGTGTCTCTCTTATGGTTTTACGGCAGCTGTAGGTTTATTGCTCGAAGAGAAGGTTATCTTGGCTTCGTTTTTATGACAATATAATTATACTTCAGAAATGCACTTGATTACTCTGTGCAGCAAAATTGTTCCAGTGGATTGCCTGGGCCAATATTGCTATACAAACAACTTTTCAGTCAATTGAGTTGAGTAAAAAAAATCAATATTTCTATAGCAATATTTCTAAGGAGAACTTGCTGAATCCATTTTTTTGGTCCTTCTGTTTGTTTGTTTAAAGAAAAGGTAGTTTATAGCTCTTAGCTTTGTTTTTAGCTTCTTTCTTGCATTTTCTTAACTAAGGGATGATGGGCTTTTTGAAGCTA